GACATCTCTAAATACATTCTCACTAGTTCATGAGGTTGAAGATATCTCCAAATGAACAGGGAGTGGTAGTTATTCTGTTTTTGATATCATCTTTTCATTTCTAACTAGTAATTATTGCAATAGTGACTAGTGTCACTAGTGTTACTAGTGTAAACTAGTGTCTATTTAATAGGTACTAGTATCTAATGAATGAGTACTAGTATCTAAAAAATACATACTAGTACCTAATAACTACTAGTACATAAACATTAAGTACTAGTCACTAGTGGAATACATACTAGTTAAAATTGAATAGCTGATATCTCAGTGATGGATCCCCATAGATGTCAATGGCAAAAATTAAAAATGTGTTACTAGTAACAATATAATAATTACTAGTCACTATTGAAATAAGTACTAGTATCTATTGAAATAAGTACTAGTATCTAATGAATAAATACTAGTGTCTAATGAATAAGTACTAGTGTCTAATGAATAAGTACTAGTGTCTAATGAATAAGTACTAGTGTCTAATGAATAAGTACTAGTATCTAGGGCTGCATGATTAATCGAATGCGGTTGTCATGCGCATCTTGTCAGTAAAGCCGGTTCTGTGATTAGTAGTAAATCTCCAGCACGTGCTTTCAGATGGAGCAGCATTTACTACACAGAGGCGTAGTCCACTGACAAGCTACGCAAAATCACGTTCATAATCGCAGACAATTTAATCGCGTGATTATAAAATAGAAGAAATCATTCTGCGATTATGAAAGCTGTTTGCGTAGCTTGTCAGTGAACTACGGCTCTGTGTAGTAAATACTGCTCCATCTGAAAGCAGCAGAAAATTCCACATTTAATAACATGTTTTTACTCCAAACTCACTTCATAACGTCAGTCGAGTGTTTGAAATAAATCCTTCTGTGAGATGATGTGGCTTCTAACACAGAATAAGGCACGCAACATATTTTATAGTATTCTAAGCAGTCATAAAGTAGGGTGACCATACGTGCCATTTTCCCAGGATGCATCCTGGCCAGGATTTCTATATTGCCTAAAATATCAGCTTCGACAATCGCAGCTTCTGCCTATTCGTGATTTATACTATTTATTTACTAATAAATAAGTACTAGTATCTAATGAATAAGTACTAGTAACTTTACAAAAGACTGTAGTACCTAAAGAATAAGCACTAGTAGTTAATGAACAAGTACTAGTACTTAATGGAAAAAATACTAGTATCTAAAAAATAAGTACTATAAACATTAAATTAGATACTAGTGCGGTTTATAGATTAAATGTTAAAACGGCTTGCCATAGTGTGTTTAGTGTAGTGTTTGGGCCAAAGTTAGCTCCTCTAACCCACCAGCATGACTGATGACCAGATCTGAGTGTCTCATGTCCTCGGCGATTGAGTCTTTGAAACGAAACACTTGAAGTGTCAGTCCTGGACAGCTGTCTGGATCAGGAACAACTGAGCCTCTGCCAACCTGAAGCACCACGTCTGTGTAGCCACGGTCGATTAATGCCTTCATTCAGAAACATGGAAACAGTCATTAAAGTAAGCCAGGATATTGGTTCGGCTTATTGCTTATAAAACTAGCTCACAAATACCGACAAGTATTTGTGACATTCAGTTTACGTTTCCTTTGCAGTTCTCACTATTTATGAATGACATTCTTACCTTCACGGATTCATCTGAAGTCACAGCGCCAATCAGTTCATCAAAACTCGTCGTCCCGACAGTTACGAATACAGCTTTCATTATATCAGAGTGACAGTCTTTACTAAATGTAACAGAAAACAGACGTGAACAAAAAAGAAACAGTGAAGAAAACGTAAGAGTCTCTTAACACTCCATACTTCAAAATAAAAGTCCTGATGGCTTAAAATGGACCCACTAGTCATGTGTATGCTTTTAACAGAATATAGTGGTATATCAAAGTATTTAATGTTAGCCTTGTCAAAGGTGGGATTTATCTCTAAAATGACCCCCCCCCCCTCCTGCTTCCTTTTTTTTGGAGTTTGGCTAAAAAAATAAAATAAATCTTTAAATCTACATGACCCATTCCTACACATATATTACAGTAAACATCGCACTTTAAAAAAAAAAAATGAAAATCATATTCTATTATTATAAAAAAAAACACCACAATTACTGTAGGTGAACATGGAGAGTGTTTACACTTTAAATATTTTTCATAGAAATATGTCCTTAAACTAAGTCATATAAAAGCTCAAACTGTACTGCATAACTCCAATGACCCATTAATTATTGGGGCCTTTTATATTAAAAAACAGTCAGGTGCCCTTAAAATTATTTAAATAACAATACAATTATTATTAAACTGTATAATTACGTTAAAATAAATAAAAACATTGGATTTAAAGTATTTAAATTAAATTTTTTCCCCCTTAATAGTTTTGAACATACAGTTCTTGACATTTCTGGAGTCACAAAATAAATTGTGGTGTGGGAGTCTTTGGGTCAAAAATAGCTTTAGCTTTTTTTAGCAGTTAATTACAGCTTCAAATGTTCATAAATGTCTTTTGCACACCTGAATTTGGACCCCTAAACATCTTATTTTTTCTTTTAATAACTTTCTCTAAATCAGTGGCAGACTGGATAGTAAACTCTGGCTGGGTGACCTATGGGCATTCAGAGACTCCAGAAGCCACACTCATGATCACAACTCAGCCACAGCTATCTGATCAAGTGCTGCAGGTGGTCATCTTTCCAGCAGGTTTTCCCATCTCCACACAGAATGTTGCAGCTGTTATACTAGTCATTTTGTTCTTGGCCATCTCCTAGACCACAGGCGGGCAAAAGGATGAAGCTTGGTTGTTTAACATTGTTAAACGTTCTTAAAGGCTCTCTCTTTTTTCGTATTTAATGCCGACTTAAATACTTTTAATAATGCACAATCTTATTTCTTTGTCTTTCCATTACGAAAAAATCTCTGCAACAAAGTCCTGAACTTTAGTCAGATGTGCATGACAAAACATTGTCTTTATGGCATTATCCCTATCCATGTCAAAATGTAACCTTATTAAAAGGAAATGGAATGTTTTAGTTGGAAAACACCCTCTTCATCTACTTAACTCTGCAAGCAAGCAAGCAGACTCTTTCTTCGAGCTCATCACAAGATCCTCACATTTCAGACATTGGGTTTCCTTCACAATAAGACAGATTGTTGGGAACTGATAACGGTTTCCAGGCAATTTAAAGGTCATTATCAAAAGCCTATTGTGAGGTATTGCATGCATTGATTTCAAGTTCTTTATTTAGTTGTTTTGGTTTAAGTCTCACAAAAATGTAAATGATAACCAACTTCGGCATTTGTACATTTTATGTGCTTACAGTGTTAAAAGCCAAAAGTAACATCTGCAATACTGTGCTGTATGGAGCGCTGACAATTTAAGTTTCTATTGAAGCAGTGGTTGGAAACGTGCCCAAAACATATTGTAACTTGTTGGGCACAAAAGATATGCAAGAGACATCTTAGAAATGAAATTAAAATACAAGAAAAGAAAGAACTGACTCAACAGGGGTTTCAGACTGTAATCAATTAAGGCATCATCAATGCTGTACTTCAGAAACAATGCATACTGTAGTCACAAAAAGCCAAAATAGCCAACAGAATATAAAAATGCAATATTTATCTATCTCGGTAATTAAAGACTTTAATAAATAGAGTATTAGGAGAGAAAGCAGTAGTTTAAAAAAATCAAAAGGGGGGAAAAAAAGAAACATTAGATATTGAGGTCTCACACCTGCATAATGGCTGTTACAGCTTAACAATTAGATATCAAACTTAAAGATCATCTTACATCAGCAAAATGTTTGAATAAGACTATAAAAAAAATTTGTTTACATAAAGACGCCATTAAAATGGCTCATCTGGGTCATCCTAAAATTCTCCAGAAGACCATTTCCTGTTTTGTGACATCACTTTCCATTCAGGATGTTCGGTTTTCCTCTTTATTCACAAAGATTGTCCCTGTTCTCATGTGCCTGACTGCTAGTCCAGACAGCCCAGGCTTTTCACGCCTCATCTCATTGGTACTGGGATTAAGCAGTTTTATTCTTCACGCCACATTCTTGGTGCGATCCAATGATAACAGAGCTCAATTTTATTATATATATATATATATATATATACATACATACACACACACACACACACATACATATGATAAACATATTTATATATATATATATATATATTGGAAAAATCAAGCATCATGACATGTGAATGCACTAGAAAGCCTGAATGTTGGTTAGTTTTTTTCCTCACGGCACAAAAAATAGCTTCTGCGTTGAAAACTAAGGTGGATAAAATTATATCTATAGCATTATATGATACTATGCATGTTCTTTGGAATTTAACTTCCAAATAAATGAACCTGTTTGATGTAAGATGATCTGTTGGACTTAAGATCATCTTACATCAGCAAAATGTTTGAATAAGACTATAAAAAAAATTTGTTTACATAAAGACGCCATTAAAATGGCTCATCTGGGTCATCCTAAAATTCTCCAGAAGACCATTTCCTGTTTTGTGACATCACTTTCCATTCAGGATGTTCGGTTTTCCTCTTTATTCACAAAGATTGTCCCTGTTCTCATGTGCCTGACTGCTAGTCCAGACAGCCCAGGCTTTTCACGCCTCATATAACACAAATATTTTTTATCATTTACTGCATTTTATTATTCTATATTTATTTATCTATCCATAGTGGCTAATGAATAGGAATTTAAGCACACTCACAAAAAATAGCTTACTTCTGCGTTGAAAACTAAGGTGGATAAAATTATATCTATAGCATTATATGATACTATGCATGTTCTTTGGAATTTAACGTCCAAATAAATGAACCTGTTTGATGTAAGATGATCTGTTGGACTTAAGATCATCTTACATCAGCAAAATGTTTGAATAAGACTATAAAAAAAATTTGTTTACATAAAGACGCCATTAAAATGGCTATGTGAATGCACTAGAAAGCCTGAATGTTGGTTAGTTTTTTTCCTCACGGTTTTGCACTCTCATACCTGGACTGAAAGTAAGGCCAGGACGCTCATTGCACAACGCATGCGGTGCAGCACTGCTCTTGCTTCTCGGGTAGAGTGGTGTAGTTCATCTGCCTCACAATCTCAGCGAACAGCTCATCGACCATGCTCTTGCTCTTGGCTGAGGTCTCTATGAAGGGGCAGCCCCACTCTTGTGCGAGCGCTCGTCCGTCAGAGGCCGCCACCTCCCGCTCGGACTCCAGGTCCACCTTATTCCCCACCAAGATCAGAGGCACCTTCTCAAAGCGCTTCACACGAACGATCTGGTCCCGCATGGGTCTGATGTCCTGCAGAGCAGAGAGAGAAGGTAATGTATGATATATAAGTTAAAACTCAGGTCTCCAAATAAGTCAGTTTATGGAGAAATGAACAGTCTTAAAGTTGCAATGAAATGGAAGTGGTGACAGATCTTTTCTTCTGTATTGTGACGTACATCCAAGTGAAACGGATTAACGAAAAAGACAAAACGTTGGGCGGGGCCTTGGTTCTGTGCTTTGATTTTGAGACACAAGTGAAGGCAAAGCTTGTAGGGGTGGGGTTTAAGGGGACTAAATGATGGGATTGGTTAAACCATTTTTAAAAATGAAACATGCAGATTAAATGTCTACAATAAGATCAATACCATGCATTTCGACTATAGTTTTTTTCCACACTATATCTGGCTTCAAATAGAAGGCTTGTTAATAATAATAATAATCTTATTTTTGTATTACTTTTGTGTAATAGGATCCCTTCCAGTGCTGTTGTTCTTTAAATCATGATTTACTTTTTCTCAGTTTTGTTCTTTTTGGAATAAAATGCTTTTCTTGTATAAGTAATACAAAATGTTATGTACACATGTACTGTCATGTTATAAGAAAGAATTGGATAATAAAGATAAAGTAAAAACAAACAAACAAACATATAGAATGATAAGTGGGTGTGTGAGATCACCAGGGTTGGCGATAGTGCATTTGAATGTAAGAAGTTACAACCTGTTGCATGTATGCCATAAACTACTTTTAAAAGAGACATATTTTTGATTTCCTGTCATGTACAGTTTGCCAGAGAGGGCTACGGTTTTGTGCTCTCCAAAAATCACAGGAGTTTCCCTGCTAGAGTGATTTTCTGACTTCAGTTGTGGTAATAGTTGTAAGGATGTCCTAATCTAAACCTCAAAAGTCTATTTGTTGTACTAGCTGAGCCAGACATGAGACGCAATACTCACCTGAAATGACTGCTGATTGACAAGACTGTAGACTAGAATGAAGCCTTGCCCGTTTTTGATGTACAGATCTCGCATGGACGCAAACTGCTCGGTCCCAGCGGTGTCCAGGATCTCCAGCACCGAGGGGGACGAATCCACCTCGATCTCCTTCCTATAGAAGTCTTCGATGGTCGGGTCATATTTCTCTATGAATGTCCCGGTCACAAACTGGACCGTGAGTGCGGACTTGCCCACGCCGCCGCTGCCCAGCACAACCACCTTATACTCCTTCATTTGGTCTGATCCAGGCTTAAGCTACAGCAAACTTGATCTGCTCAGCAACGGCCATAAAAACATAAAAATACCACAGCACTTCTTATCGAGGCGTTTTATGACCAAAACAACAACGGGGGAGCACTTTTATCGGGTTCGAGGAAATCAAAGCCACAGATTCAACAGCGGACGAGAGTGTTTTCCCTGGGTATACGTCTAGCTAAATCCACAACGCCCCTCCATCTGTGCCCTATCGCCATTGGGATCCGTTCATCCGAGAGTTTGTTAGCTACAGAGACGATGTAAAACACAAGTATTGTGTGCAGTCGTGTCCATGTTTGGCGTTCGTGTGAATGGAGCGCTACATGACTAGCGTTAGCTGGCTAGTGGTTTTCAAAGAGAGCGAGGCTGTACTCACATAAAAACGTCCCTTTCTTGCTTTAATACCGCTTCTGAGCGACGAATATAATCACCGGGTTCAGGTTTCTTGCTCTGAGACTCTTAACTCATACACGCCGCCTCGGAATCCTGCATTTCCTTCCCTTCTTGTGCCTCTTTTCCCCGGCCCGCCTCTGCATATCGGCCCCAGACAGCAGCAGCAGCGGAGCTCCTTTCTCAAGCTAGCGTGAACGAACTGTTCGGCCGAGTCGAATCACTTCAGTGAATCGGTTGAATTGATTCACGGATTATCTCGGGTAAATTTAGCCGGGATCCGTAAATTTCAAACATGTTCGATTTGTAAGAGCATTTGGAAACAAAGATTTGATTGACATTGAGTTTAATTAGCAGAAATGTTACAAAAAAAACGTCAAGGAAATATGTTTATGACTTGTATGGCGGTTTTATCAGCACATAGTTGGTTATGATAAATAACTAATTTAAAACGCTTTCCCAAGATAATTTTAGTACTGATTAATGTAAACTATAATGTACATTTATCTTTTACATTACTTTGTTTCATACAATGAATAATGAATTCAACAAACTGCAATGGCACACATGAAAGAAATAGCCTACTCCAATTAGAAAACTTTTTTGTTTGTTGTTTTAAGGACGCTAGTCAGAGGCGACGTTATGACGCAATTACGCTCTGACACCAACGGAGAGGTTTTTGAACCGGTTCTTTGAAATGAACTGTTCGAAAGAACCGATTCGCGGAAATGAGTCGGCCCCTCCGAGGAGCTCCTTTCTCACACGCCTCAAACGGACCAATAAACATCCGCCGGAAATCACATCACTCTAAAAAAAGGTGAGTTAGAGAATAGCAATTTGAAAAGAATTTAAATTGGTTTCATTTTTGTGAATCACTCCACTGTCATCTTAGTGACAAAAACTTTAAATTAATATATACAGTATGTTTGCTAAAGCTGTAATCTAATTACTGCATATGACTTATTAAAATAATTCATGATAATATTGATATTTTTAGTGTTATTTTTGTTTTTAATGACATTTTTTTTTATATAAAACCCTTCAATATATTCTACACTGAGATTATATTTACAGACAGATAAAGTGTAACAATTTAGGCCTACGTATTTTATAATCTGAGGCCTCTATAGCTGGAAGGAAACCTAAGCTAAACATGTCCAAGACACAATCATATTGTAAAATGAGATGAAAGAAGAAGAAAAAAGAGGAAAATGAGCAATCAATGAACATACAACTATATATTAATATCACTGGCAATTTAAAGCTTGTGTAATCATGAAGTGGTCAAATAGCGGTCTCTATGTTACAACTAATGACATTATCTTGGCATGTCCAGTGATTTGAATAGTTTTGTACAGTTAGTAAAATGAACTTAAGACAATGTAATTCTTAAATCCAATTATTTGTTTTGTTGACGTCTCTGTAGAGCACTCTGTGAATACAACCAATAAAAACACACACCAAACACGGTCCAAAAATGCCTTTAAGCGCTTTATTAAAATGTCAAACAAAAAGAACAGAAGTCTTAAGCATGTATATATTCCATACATTTATATATCGCAAAGGGTTTGACAAGAAGCACAGTTCTTGAAGCACATACAAGCACAATAAGCTAAATAGAAAGAAGCATTTCATATAAAGAGTCAAAGCATTCAGTTTTATCTTGTCCTACAGTGGGAGAGAGAGGAATCTATTACATATGGCTTTGAAACAATGTAGACATTCTTCGAACGGTTCCACACACACAATAACATTTACACAGGCATCGGCGTCAGTCACCGAACATCAGTCGATGCCTTTAAAGGGACATAACCTCTGCATCGATGAGCGATTTCATTCGAAACTATACAGCTTTGTACAACATTAATGTGATGCTCCGGTCTCAGTGACTTCTACACATTAAAACACGAACCATTGACGTTAGGGTTCCAGTCACAGAAATGACGATGACGTGACTGAATGCAGGGCACAGTTAGGTGGAAGTCTAACCTCAATGGCTTTCTCGACAGACCAGTCCTTTCACATCACACCGAATGTTTAGGCACAGGATAATGGACAGCAGAAGAGTGTTTGTCGATTTTCTCTGTCAGCACAGTGGTAAAAGGAGCACCCCGTGTGTTCGCATTCAGCTTCTGGATGCAAGTCGGGACCCCTTAGTCTATGCCAAGTCCTAAGTTCTACCTCAGCTTTACAGTCAAAAGGCTGAGGACCATAATCGATTGGTCCAAAGGTGCGTCTATATGCAAGAACCTACAAAAGACTCAGTCTCTCCCTCACTAATAGGGCAAGTGCCATGGCAACAAAATTATTGGCTTCCAAAGCAACTGTAGAGCACAGAATGTACAAGTTTTCTTCAACAGAGGGTTCTGTCTGGCGATTTCACGTCGGATTTTGGAGCAATTTTGATTGAGGATATCCTGTGAGATTTTCAGGTTATTTGTTGGTCTTGGTGAGTGCACAAGAATGGAAAACTGAAATATGTTACTTTGTGTAACCTGCAGCAATGCTTTCCAGCTGCGGTCTGACCCTGAGGTGCTCTTTACGCTGCCCTCCTGGTCTTCCTGCAGGGGGCAGAGCATTATTACTCCCCCCTTTTCATGGCGTCCCACGGGACTACACCATAGGGACTACACAGAAAACAAAACCGCACGATGTAGAGGTAAAAGAGAAACAAGTTGGCCGTTCTTTGGTTTCTGGACCTCAGGATCAGACGCGAGCGGGCACAGTGCTCAGGTCGCTGCGCTTTTGTAAGCTACGCAAAACTATAAAGCCTTTTTTGACATCATTTTCTCCGCAAAATGCAGTATCATGCTTAATGATGAGAACGAGGGCATTAGCAAACAGAACAAACAACAAATTCCTCAACACCCCAGCGAAACAGCATCTATCTCTTTGACAACCCTTCAAAAGGAGAACTGTTTACCTGTATTCCGAACGATACAGACATTTGATTTGAATCTGCTCTTCTACATATATATATATATATTTATTCATCTATGTATATTCAAAATAAATTCTGAATATTTTGAATCAGTTATGTACATAAGTGCAAACAAGGTGAATAACACACATTCGTACACCGATGGGGTGACGCAAGTCACCAGGTCCCAGCACAGCTGGGGTGCAGTCTGGGAGGGCCAGAGGGGGACAGAGACTTAAATCAGGGGCTCACGTATGGCTGATACCATCCCGTTACTGACATCACAGGGCTGTGTTGTTTATGAAAACCGCCAAAGCTTTTCGGACCAAATGTAAGACTAGAAAGTCACTTTCCCCCAAATTGATCCATCTGATTAGTTCAAAAGCTCAGATGCTGTTTACGTAAAGATCTGGTTCTTATCTAAAAGTGATCAGTAACCCCAATAGAAAAATAATAATCATTAAAACAGAAATAACGTATGATGTCTCCAAAGGGCCTTTGGACATAAAGTATCTCACAAGTCTAAATATATATATATATACGTTTATATATATATATATATATAATTTTACAAAATAGTCAATCATCTCTTTTTCCAAGACAACTTAAGAACACATTCCCTTTCTGAATAAGTTAACGTTGTACATTATTTCACTTGAAGTGTGAAAAAATTCACAATTAAGATATACAAAGGTAGCCATGTTGTAGTTTTGTTGCCATAGCAACAAGAACTTACTATCATAGGTAACAATGAATCTATCATTGTAATACATACAAATGTGTATATTGATATATAGATATATAGATTAAGTAATTTTTTTATCTTAAACCACTAACTGCACAAACTATGATGTAGATTATTCCGATTATTTTAATTCCATGCGATGACAGACTTTACGATGTAAGTAAGGTAAGGTAAACCGAGTAACGCTAATGATCAAACTCAAACTACCATTGACAGCTGTGTCAAAACAACACCGTAACATGACTGAAGTCGTCAGGATATAGTTAAAACAGGTACCGTTACGAAGGTCAATAATGTGAAAAACTAGAATGACGGTGACGATGCGTTTGTAATACGTACACATAGATTATTCTAGCTAACTACTTTATGCAGGTATGCACACTTCTTAAAAAGTGAGTTCTTAAAATGCTAAAGCCCCCGATGAGGCACATTGTTTTTTCTTTATCAAGTATTTCGTTGATTCCAGCTGGATTGCAGTTGGAGAAGGCATAATTCTTTATATGAAAGAGAGAGAGAGAGAGAGAGAGAGAGAGAGAGAGAGAGAGAGAGAGAGAGAGAGAGAAGGGAGTATGAACGGGTGTAGAGATAAACGCAAAATCAAGTTTTCTTCAAGGGCCACAGGGGGGTTTGGGAGTTTTAAAATCATCCGCAAAAGCGACAAAAGGTTGAACATGCATGAGTGAACACTCAGACACCTTCTGCACGATTCTGCACTAGAGACAGAGAGAAAGGAGCTTCTACACCTTGGCTGGGCAATGGAACTGAATTACAAAACACAATCCAACACATCAATAAACAGTAGAGATCATTCCTAAAAGAATCCACACGTACTTGCCCCAGTATTTCTTAAAACAACCTTAAAACACATGAACATTATACAGAGATGTTTACAATACAGATACTATTTCAGTTATAACACAGTATCATCTCGCTCTGATTTTGTCTTGGTTTAGACCACCGCTGTATGATATCGTTTCACTTGTGTTTGGCCTAGATAGTGTGTGTGTGCTGATCAGCAAAAAAAGTTGCAATGATGTTTTTAGGTCATAAAATCAGCTTTACAGCTCTCTCTTGGGGTTACGCCGCTGAAACAACATGGCTGTCCCAAAGGAGACAACAGTTTAGAGAAGGGTCTTTGAGATAAGTGACGAAAAACGCTTTTTCTGTCTCTTTTTGTACATCAACAGTGGATGGCATTGGGAGGCTTTCACTTCCTTGATATGTTGAGAAAGGTTGTAGTTTTGTTCGAGAGAAATGGTGAGACAGGCATCCAAAACCTCTCGTGACATTCTCTCTGTCTTAAATGTCACATTCATATATGCATGTAAAGGCCCGCGGTGGGGCTCGTAAATGAAGCTTTGGCTGATGAGGGCCTTTTCTTAGTACCCAGTCTGAAAAGAATCAAAATTTCTTTTAATTGTAACATGTCTACACGAGAGCCACAGCTTTCAGCTCACAGTCCAAATATTCAGATGTCACACGGTCATCTACGCCCTTGCATTTTAGAGTCTGCCGACTTTTGAAAGTAAGGACACAGTCAGTGATTTAAACCTGTTCGCACATGAACACAACAAACACAAGATCAA